TACGTTCGGTCAGATATGGTCTGCGTGTTCGAGAGCTATGCTGGGGATATAGGGTGGAGGCACTCGGAAAGCCCGATAACCGGATTGGAGGTATTCGCCCGACTTGTGGGCTCTGCCCTGTGGTTATATGATTTCATTAATTATATGCTTATAAGGTGCTAATATTTGCCGGTTGAGTTTTGGATCAGTGTGTTTTTGCTGTGTTTGTTAAATTTTTGGCTTGGATGATAAACGGCAGATACGAGAGGTGCGGCCGAAAGTGACGCTTGTGGTTAGGATGGCAGCATCAGTGGCCAACTACGACTACATCGTCGATTGGGAGTTTCAAACGGATGGACTAATTAGAATCAAGGTAAGTTGAAGTCCATCTGTATTCTACTGTTTTTTGGTTTTCCTTATCAATCATTTTCTTAGGCTGGAAACTATACTTTGTCATCTTCCATTTGTCACAAGCAGCCAAAGAAGATTCATTTACTTTATATAGTTGTGGACCTTTAGATTCATACTTTCACTTGATCACTTTGCCCTGTTCACTTTCAATTGAGTGGAAACTATCTGATGGTATTGGAAAAGTATTGGGAGTTTTGCTTTTCTAAAAGTAGGGGCAGCAATAAGTATCAAATAGTAATAATGTTCTGTTACCCAACCTTTCTGATGTGTGTTGCTGCCTGTTGCCTTCTACAAGGTCGGCCTAAGTGGAATACTGATGGTGAAAGGAACTCCCTATTCCAACCTCGACCAGCTCAACCAACAAGATAACCTGTACGGGACCCTCTTGTCCGAAAATGTAGTCGGTGTTATCCACGACCATTACATCACGTTCCATCTCGACATGGATGTAGACGGCTCGGATAATTCGTTTGTCAAAGTCAACCTCCAGAGGGAGTACACAAAACCCGGGGAATCCCCTAGAGTGAGCTACCTGAAAGCTGTGAGAAATGTGGCCAAGACTGAAAAGGACGCGCAAATTAAGCTCAAACTCTATGACCCGTCCGAATTCCACGTCATCAACCCTAGGAAGAAAACACGAGTCGGGAACCCTGTCGGGTACAAGGTGGTCCCTGCCGGCACAGCTGCTAGCCTGCTCGACCCGAACGATCCTCCACAAAAGCGAGGGGCTTTTACCAATAACCAGATTTGGGTCACTCCGTATAATAAAACCGAGCAATGGGCTGGCGGCCTTTTCACGTACCAGAGCAAGGGTGATGATACTCTTGAAGTATGGTCTAACAGGTAACGGGATTCTATGTTCTTGCTCGATTCTTGATTTCTAGGCCATTTTTTTTATTCATCTGACGACTCGAATGTGTGTATTTTTTTT